AGACCAGACACATATTCACATGGAAATGCTGTAATCACCAGTGCCAGCAGTCAACAGGCGAACATATTCAAGAATCTGTGTGTTCATCATCGTATCTTACAGCCCATACTGGACTACCTCCTTCCTGGTCCTCACATTACCATCATTACCACAGGTGGCATTTATAAGATTTGTTCTTTTATAGTATTTACATCAACCCACTGAGTGCAGCGGCGAATCAGTGCTTGAGGATCATGCCATGGTCAGCAAAGGAGGGATTTGAACCTGCGATCCTCTGATCACAACGTTCCCAGCCATTCACAGCCACTGGGTCGTGACACATTACTAGGCCGTTAGCTCTTGTTTATTTGCTTCAAGTAATTTGTATTTGGTCGGCCACTAAGTGGCAGCAGATGGTTATAAAACTGAAAAAAAGAGGGAGAAACTCAGAGCTGTTAAAGAAGATCTTCATGTGTCTCTTTCTTCAATTCCTGTGAGTATATCAGGGTTGTCTTTAACTAAACAGGAGTTAGTGAACTGTGAGAAAATAAACCTAGTCGATCGCTACATTTCGTTACTTAATTCCTTATTTTTGCATGGCGGTGCAGCGTGAGATTTTTCGAATATAAAATATTTGCCGTGGCTCAACAAAGGAACACTGCACTTGACCCCAGCTGTTAATGTCTTTACATGCACAGTAACAATAATCTAATATATGAAGTTGGTATCAGGTGAAAAGGTTTGTGTCACATTCAGCCACTGTGAACTTTCAGCTCCCTGAGTGCTCCCCCTTCTGTTCACACTCAGTCGTCGTCCTGTTCCCACCTCCTTTATTTGCCTCCTTGATGATGACTTCCCTCTTTTGTTTCCTAAGCTCCTCCCCTTTCTTAGCATACATATAAATGCCACATCCTTATCTCTCTGTCATCCCTGTGAGTCAAATGTTTTTTTTTCTCTAACTGTCATGTGCTTCATGTCTGCTTCTGTTAACTACGCCTCACTCTAGTCATATAGATAAACATCGTATAATAGATACCAAACTGACATACACCAAAACAAGGATAAGTATATTTTATTATTTATACAGTTGTGAAAGTTACGAAACACCAGACGTCCCTGAAAATAATCATTACCATCCGACCCAGAATAACTTTCATTTCAGCAGATGATACATTCAGTTGGAGGATTTCTCCAGATGGTGATTAATGTGTGTTTACATTGCCCAGATTTGAGCCTCTTGTAGGCACACAGCCATCAGTGATGGTGAACCATTGTTGATCTAAGCCCGTCGGAGGTCTTTCATCTCCACCGACACCAGCTAATAAAAACCAGCCACACGTTGGACAAACAAAATAAACTCTGGGCCACAAAACCATCCCTGGTGTAAACCATTTATAAATGCAATTGTGACATGGTGTGTGTGTGTGTGTGTGTGTTTGTTTTACTACTGACTCTGCCTGTACTACTGCCGTCTGACACAAAACCATCCCTGGTGTAAACCATGAAGTTATAAAATTGTGACATGGTGTGTGTGTGTGTGTTTGTGTTTGTTTTACTACTCCTGACTCTGCCTGTACTACTGCCGTCTAGGGTGTGTGTGTGTGTGTGTGTTTGTTTTACTACTCCTGACTCTCCGCACTGAAGATGTACAGATCCTGAGGAGAGTCGACTCTGACACATACGGCTACATTTCTACGGACTTCTGATTTCACTGTTTCATCAAATTGGCTTTAATTATTTACTTAATGGATACAAACATAAATTCACAGGATGGAAAAAAACAATAAACATTAAAAATCTACCACATCCTTCAATCAACATTCAGTTCTGATTCACGAGTTTAATCAGCTTCTCCTCATCGTGGCAGCTCCACAGAGAAAAACTCCTCAGTCCTGACAGATCCATAACCAAGACCAAGCAGCTCTCCTGTTTGTTACCCCAGACATCAACATGAAACGCTGACCTTTTACCCCATGAGGGATGCAAGTGGCCGTGGTGTCCCACAGGTCTGTGGTTTACCGTGCCAGACGCCCCAGCAGTCTCCGTCACAACGCTGCCTCTGTGGTGTGTCAGCAGCGCGGCGGCTACAACGTGACTAACATTTGTTTTCTGTGTCCCAGTAATTTGTGGTGTGGTGAGCCTGACGGGGATTTAGGAGCTGGAGGAATTTGGGTTTTATCTGAATGAACATGTAAATGTTAGTGTTTATTAGCGATGTAATACAGACTCATTTGTTCCGCTGCCAGAACTCTAATCATAGGAGCGTTGACTCCACGACTAGAACACAGACCGTGTTCAAAGTTGTTCTGGATCTTTGTTTAATGAAATCAGTCCTTATAAACCCACATATGTTCTCCAGCCCTGCTGACGATCTGATACTGTGGTTCTTTTCAAAGCCCACACACTCCGGCTAACAACTGTATTAATGGATGAGTGGAGCCAAAACACAATGTATTCTTCCCCAGTGGAATCTAGGCACGCAGACAGATTTGATTTTATTTGTCCAAGTTTTGGTGTGGTGGAAAACAATGCTGCATTAACTCTGTATAACAGACGAGTTGTTGTTTTTTTGGTTTTCTTCTTTTTCTTCCAAGTTTTGTGTCAAAGAACTGAAATAATTATAAACACAGATTGATTCAATTATGAGCATAATGTTGGAAGAAATAATCTTGACAAAACAATTTTATTGTTTGTCTAAATACCATTGATTCAGTAAGATTTTCATGCAGTTAATCACATTCAGATAAAGTGAAACTGCTCGCACTGTTTTGTGGTCGAGGTCCAGTCCAGAGCATGAAGGGTCCCAGATGAATGAAAACACATTTTTTTTGTTTTTCTCTGAAGAATGTTAGGTTTTTATTTGCTTGTTTAATTTGCCTGTTTCGACCAAACACTGGATGCATGTTTTGCTCACTCATAATAAAGGATTGATTGTAGAACAGATCACCTGTTCAGCTACAACTGCAGGTTTTCTGACCTGCGACTACTTTTATCACATTCCAATGGCAAACACCTGTAATTCAAACGATTTTTGAGCTGCAGCTCAACAAACAAAACTGCCATAATGAAATATAACAATCTACTAGTTGTTTTTTTAGGCCTGTTTAGTTGTAACTGTTTTGATGTACCCGTAGGAATTGAAGACACACAAGAAGACTGTGTTCAAAAATATTTTTACAAATATTTATAGCAGTGATGCTATATATTCACATACGTACAGCAGGTTGAAGTAAATGGGTGTGGAGCTGAAACACCTCTAATCGTATGATTTTGTATGAAATTGTATCTTTTTTTCCCCGCCACTGATGATTTCTCACGGTACACTGGGAATGACTGGGGCGAAGATTTATTGAACGACCTTTTTGACCGACTTGGCTTCAGTCTACAGCAGTGTGGCGCTGTAATTGTGATGAAGACATTGGGGGCTGCAGATGAGTCTGGGAAGGATGATGATAAATAACTAACAGCCCAGACGGAGAGGGTCTCAAGTTGGGACACGTGGAGCAGTTTCAGTTTACCAGGTGCTGCTGGGATCAACCCGGCAACAGAACCTGAGTCAGGAGCACACACACGTACAGACACGTACACACAGGAAGACAGGGTACGGAAACAAGTGTTGGATCGGATTTTTATGATAACAATGATTTACATCACACTTAGTCAAAATATATGTAACACGTTGATTACTTCTACTTTTAAAAAACAAAACCAAACAATAAAAAACAAGTCAATAACAATTCTGTTCATTTACATTTCATTTACATTTCATTTACATTTCATTTACATTAATTACTAATAATAACATAGTAATTGTACCTTATATTTGTGCGTTACATCCCGTGGTGATCTGTGTTTGAATTCCTCATCTTCAGCTACGGCAACATCAGTTTGATGCTGCACTGTTTTATTGATATAAAGAATAGAGAGTTGTGAAGGTCAAGGGTCGCTCGATGTGAAAGCAAACAAAGAAAGTTCAGTGGAGTTCAGTAAGACAGGAATAAAGAGTCATGGATGAAAGCAGTCGGATGGTGGAGAGAGAGAGAGAGAGAGGGAGAGAGAGAGAGAGAGAGAGAGACAGAGAGAGGGCTGGTCATAGACTGCTGATGCCAAAAGCCAAACCAAAGTCCTGATAAATATACAGTGGAGGTCATTACCGAGGGGTGGAGGGGGGTGTGTGTGCAATTTCTTATGTATTTCTATGTGTCTTTCTAAAAATATAATTTTTTAAATTGCATAGTGGCATTCATTTATCTCGCTTTGCACAATTAAAACAATATATATATATATATATATAATTAAAACGATACAATAATAAAGTAAATAAAGTCCTGTTTTATGTTGTAATCTCATCCCAGATCATAAATTCAAATGCATTATCTGAACTATCTCCACAGCGTCATATTCCCACCTCTGCTTCAGCGGTTCTTTGGCCGACGTTCCATTACTTTCCTTGTCCAAACAGAACGCAGCATCTCGGCGGACTAAGAGTTCTAGAAGGTTCTTTTTCATCTGATCAAGTGATAAGCTTCCTGTCTGTATCGTCTTTCTCCCGGTCGTACTTTGAATACTACACACACGTATTTGAACTTTCTTATAATATTTTATTTTCAGTTCAGTTCACGACACTTGGACAAAACATCTTGGTTTTTGTTTTGTCATCTCTGAACTAAGTTACTGATTCAAGGCTCGACAAAAGAAACTCGATGACTACTATAACTAATAAATATGCTGGACACTATCAAAATGAGTGTGAAAATAAGTGAAAAAAATAGAAACGTAAACCAGAGGGGAGAGAAAGAACTCCCCCCAGACATCCCTCATGTTTCTCAGCCAACACTTTTACAATTGAGGAAGTCTGCACTCCCTCCCTGCCCTCCACTCCCATACTTTCACCTCCTCTCCTCTCATGCTGAGACCCCCTCCCCTTCTCCCTCCTGAGAAAGTGGATCTGCCTCCCCTGCTCCCTCTCCCGCCCCCCTCCCTCCCTCCCCTCTGCGCTCTCCCACTCTCTCTCCGTGCTGCAGATTTAACAGTGCGCAGAGCGAGGCTGGTGGTCACTCTTGTGTTCTGGATTGTAGCAGAAGGAGAAGCAGCCGGTTCAGTCACCACCATGGATGTCAAACTGCTGGCCCTGACAGCTCTGTTGGCTGTGACCGCGTACACACCGGCCTGCAGCGGTGAGTCTGTCATCAGCCTCTGTGCGCCTCACCTTTGGGTTGTGTTTAATTTGCAGCTGGATCTGTAACATCAGTGCTGCAGTGTTGATGTTGTTAATGGGATTTTATTTTTATTTTTTTACATTTTGTCTAATTTTATCTCATGCTCACATACTGAAAAATGGAGAGCAATTTCATTGGTTACCATTTGAAAAGAAATTAAGGGATGCACTGACTTTAGATTTATATTAACTCTGAGGTCGTGACTGTTGTTAGGAATTATTGCCTTTGATTATTAAGTGATTATAAAATTAATATGAACGTCACTTGTATTTTGGTGCTATTGTATTAATATGAACGTCACTTGTATTTTGGTGCAAGTTAAAAGCATCACTGCTAAAGCCATTAGTGATATATTGTTGATAATGCAGAGAAAATGTTTTTTTAGAAACACAAATAAAAAAGAAAGCAGATTTTTTTACATGGAGTAAATGTTATATTTAAATTTTTTTTTCTTTTCAATCTTTCGTTTTAATATGGTTTTATTTACCTACACTCTGCTGTACATGTATCTCCTCTGTGTCATTTAGCTGATCCGGCTCTGGTAGTTGCCCTTTATTTGCCCCCAGTCAGACCCCTGTGTTAAAGACTCAGGTCTTGGTGTGCATTTGTTCTTGCTCTCTGCTTTCTTTAAATGAGTTTCTAATTAGGGATAAACAATGCAGTGGTGATATCCTGCTCCTGCTCCTGCTCCTGCTCCTGCTCCTGGTCTCAGTGCTGCCTGCTGCATAATGATCCCTTTAGTTTGCATGAGAAAAGAGCTTGAATGGCTGCAAGTCATTAGGCTGATATTACTGAGGATTTAGCCATTTGCTGCGGGACATTTGGTGCTGAATTATAAACTTGCATATCAATGGGAGTTTGTCAAAGCCAGGGAGTTGTCTGTTCGTTACACTTGACTACTTCATTCTGTTGTGATTATGTTAGAAGGAAATGGATTATAGGAATCAAAGCACCTAAAAAGTCTTTGCTCTGGGACAATGTCTCTACAGCTGTGGGACACCGTCCTGTTTTCACTTAAATAGTATTATTTTAATCCAGAATTGAACGCAAAGTCTTATGTTTTACAACTAATATAAACTTTTTTTTATATCCATGAATTTTGCATGGTGCAATAATAATAATCCAAATCCAGTTACCCGTGCTCATCTGCCCTGTCCTGCTCCCCCGTCCCTCCCTCCTCGTCCCCCCAGCCTCCATGGAGGCACGGTGGTGATTTGTAATCATTTTAAGAATGTAGTTGTGTTGATTTCCACAGAGGCCGTCAATGTGGTCTGAGCCGCAGAGAGCTCGTTCATGAAAGAGAGAAAATTACAAATTGAATGTGGAGGGCCTCGGTACTTTAGAGAGGCCATGTCAAACAGACGGAGAGAGGGGAAAACTCTGAGGTTCTGTGTGTGTGTGTTTCTGTGAGAACGCACTAATCTGCTTTTAATGAACATGTTCAAATCTTTACCAGGTAAAAATCAAAGTCAGATTGTATTTATGAGTCATTACTGACTGAATATGAGTTTCAGGGAAGAAGTGAATTCATATCAAACTGCTTGGTTTAGATTTTTATGAAGCAGCAACTTAGTTTTAGTCTGCAGTTCTTTACAATTTTTAAATCAACGACAAAAATTGTCAAATGTTTTTATCAAATATTTGAGAAATTGTTTATATTATTATGGTTATACTTTAATTTTTATTTTTTCTTTTGAGGTTGAAGTGCATTTTTTTCTTATGGTTATACTTTAATTTTTATTTTTACTTTTGAGGTTGAAGTGCATTTTTCCCCTTCTCTGTTCAAAATTTTAAAAAGAATAGTTCAATTTAGAATTCTGCAGCATATCTGACAAATGTCCTTTATTTTTCAGTAATAAAACCATTTCTCATTTGTCCACTTCTTGGTGTGTTTGCAGCCAAGCCCATCAGTCTGGTTGAACGCTGCTGGTGTCGTACGACCCTCAACACCGTTCCTCAGCGCTCCATCAAAGAGCTCAAATTTCTCCACACGCCCAACTGCCCCTTTCAAGTCATGTGAGTAAATACAAGTAAAGTGATTTATATCTGGGTTCATTTCATGGCCTGTCGTGGTGAAAGTACATGTTTGTGTGGATTAGAGACAAGTGAAGCCTCAGTTAACGCTGTCAAACTGTTGGTACAGTTCATTCATTTAAAAGGAAATGTAAAAAAACAGAATTAAAAATGATCAGAAATAGTTTTATTCCTATTATTGACATACATAAAAATCACATTGTTGTTTTTCAGTGAGAACAGTGTCCACACTTTTATTGGTTTGGAAGCTAATTCTCAAAAGTTGGGACTAAAATGATCCATCTACATTGATAATATTAAATATATGTTCATTCATATAAACCGAATGTAGTTATTATACTGTATATGTAGTACATGACATGTTGAGGTACTTTGATTAAATGCATGTAGTGGTATTGCACAATATGATTCAATACTTATACGGTTTTTAATTTAGTCCTAAAATAGAACAACATCTAAATGTTGATTTTGATTTAAATTGCTCCTGATTGACCAGAACTCTTTGTCAATTTCCTGGTGGATCTACTTGTCGTGCATCTCTGCATAAAACATTTTTTTTTTTTACATCACTTCAAATTTGCAAGTGAAGTTAAAGACATTTCCGGAGCGTGAACGTGAGCAACTGGATTTGTGGCTTTTCTTATTTTAAACCTTGTATATAATTGCGTTTCCGTGATCCGTGAATCACCATGTGATGATGAGTTGTAAAAGTGATGAGGAAGATGAGGGTCGCCAGCTTTTACTTGAGTCAATTAGTGACCTATGAATGGACTCATCAGTAAATCCTCATAAGGTAACAATACACATGTGAAATATGGTGTTGATTTCCTTCCTTTATTTCCTAAATGAGGAGCCGCTGTTTAAAACAACACGATTGACTCAGAGGGAGGAAGTGGAGCTGGAGCTCAGGGCCGCAGCTCAGGGCCGCAGCTCAGGGCTGGAGCTCAGGGGGACATTTCTATTCTGCAAAGGGTCAAAGTGATTACCTTTGTGTTTCTGCTGACCCCCTGTGTCCATTATATTCTCACTTTAATTTCCCATCCCTAACTGCCCGGCAACTATAATACCAGTGGTCTGGAACACATTTACTAAAATGCCTCATTTATGTACCTGCTGCAGAAAAAGAAAAGAAAAGAAAAGAAAAGCAGACGCCTCGCAGCTGAAAGGCCAAACGTTTGTGTGGTTTTTACCAAAACAAAAAGAAGGCGAGCGCAGAAAGTGCGACAGAGCGGCTGAGAACATTTCTGCCTTGAGATTTCTACCTGATAAAATTGATTTTTTTTTCTTTCCGGTTTTACCAAAATGCAGCTCAGTTTGTGATTTAATTTCAATAAATGTTCCTCCAGTTTTTTCTGGTCGTGGTGGCGGGGCAGAATTTTATAATTCTGTCATCGAGACAAAGGGGTTTGTGAGTTTGAGCTTCACAATTAAAAGTTGCGTTGATTTGACTAAAAGTCACAGAGAACACAGAACCATCCAGAGACACCACTGAAGCCGCTCCACCTGGCTGAAGAATCCAAACCTCCGTCATATGAGGAGCTGCTCCTGTATCATTAAAGAGACACATGAAAGAAACACCCACTGCACCCCCCTCCCCCTCCTTTGTTCAGCAGCCCCACATGTCCCACCGTGCGCCCTCACCAGTACCCCGACCCTTGCTACCCACCTCCGCCTGCTGTTGGTGTTGACTTGCTGTGATGTAATTACTACCTGCTGCTCGTGGAACCCGGGTCCCGAAATTCCAGGAAAGTCAATCAGAGTTTAGGCTGTGGGTGGGGGTGCAGACATGCAGACAGATAAACAGGATGAAGAGAGACTCTTCACAACAGCACACAGCTCCACGGCTCACTGATGAGCTGCTGGACATTCCTAATAAAGCAGAAGGTTGGGGGGGTAAAAGAAGGGGGCGCTGTCCCCAGAGGAAAAACAAACACAGATCCAGTTACTGAGCTGTTTGGCCTCCTGACTCTGCAGTCAGCCCCAGGGATCAGGGAGCTGATGGTTGGACGGACCCTCCAAAACTGCTCTTTCAACTCTCTGACCAGTTGTTCATTCAGACGTGTACAGCATGGGCAACCAAACAGTGAGGGCACTTATACCACCGTGTCGGGGGGTGGGATTTAAACTAAATCAGACGGCAGTCCACGTTGGAGAAGAATGTGTTTAATTTGTGGAGTTGTGTGACGTGAGTGATGAAGGAAGGACAAGGAGGCAGCGAGACACCACGCCTCAGAGTTGTTAACTACGGCTGAACTGATCTGAAACTCACCCAGTGGTGTCTGATAACAGGACAAATCCTCTTCTAAATATTTGGCTGAGTGCTCCATCAACAAACCAGACATCACTTGTGTAAGAACACACACTCTTTGTCACCACAGGGCTGTAGATCAGAAGACACTGATCAATCTGACTTCCCCACAACAAGCATGGCGTTTATTCATTCCTCAGAAGAAGAAGATCACAGATGTGTTTGTCAAGACGGCAGCAACAACCAGAAAAACATCATACGTTGATATCATTGATAAAATGACAGCTTTAATTCAACTAGGTTTTAAACCATCAGGCTACATTTGCATTCTCTTGGCTGATTCACATTGTCTGAGTTCTGAGGCCGAATTTCCAAAGTAAGTGCTGAGATGTTTGAGTGTAGAAGCAGTTTTACTAGTTCTGCAGTGACGCTCCCTCCCAGCTGTCCCTGAGTGGAAACAGAGAGCAGTGATTGGTTACGTGCAGCAATGCTCCACTTTCTATTTGGCACGTCTGAGGTATTTCTGCAGCACCAACATCGTTATCCTGATTTATTAAAGTCGTTTCAACAACTACTTAATCAAACACTGACAAAGGTTTCAGTGTTGGCTTTAGAAAAAAGAAGGGTTAGCTGATGTGAAACGTAGCGGTGATGCTAATCCTCCATCTTTACGTTTGAGTGTTTCAGGAGTTTTGGGAAAATGAGGCAGATAAAGTCAGACTGACATGAGGGTTTTTTTCAGTGAAACAAATGATATTTTTATCCTTAAATATGAGACTGAGATGAAGTCAATGATATGTTGGTGGACGTTATCTTTGACGCATCAACATTTTGACATTATTACTGTTTTTGTTTTACAGAAGATTTAAATGTTCTTGTTGGAACACCGTCAATTTGAGTTTTAGTTTTCAACCACTAAATGCCTTTATCACCATTTTTACTTCTTATATTTCCTAGACATACATGTTATTTAAAGAATTCTTGGCGCCAGGTCACAATCTGCTTTTTTGTCTTGTCTATGTTTAAAAAAAAAAAAAAAAATTTCAGTTGGAAAAACGAAGCACTTTGATAATTTAACGATAATTTAACGTCTCTCATTTAAGATATATATATAATGCTATATATATATATATATAGCATAATATGTGATTTATTTAATGTTAATGTAAAATTGTCATAAAACTGTTCCAGGATCAGAGGTGATGCCAGGTGTGTGTTCTCACATTCAAGTCCTAAGTTTTCACACATTGATTCACTGGACGAAGACATGAATCTAAACTGTCGACTTCCTAATGTGGGAATTCGACTTGGTCTTTGAAGTGCTTTTTTAAAAGCTCATTTTTTATGACTCTAACAAGCGCCGTCTGACTGGAAACAGGGAAATCCAAGTGTTCCAAATATAGAATTATAGATGAGCCGTTCATGTTTTATTCAACATATTGTCAGTCACTGTGTTTGAGGTCTTTTATGATAATGATGATTTATGGGAATAATGCACACAAGAAAGCATTGTTTGCTCTGCGAGCATCAGCAACTGTGTAGCTCTAAAGAAAGCCCAGCAGTGCTGTGTAGTTCTGGACAGACTTAGGTTTGATTCATATCCAAGGATTTGGAAAAGAGTCAAACATGAGTTTGGAAAAGAGTCAAAGCCGTTGTTTCCGTCTTGTCTCCTGACTCTGATCATGTACGGAATGATCAAAGGGCATTTTACATCAGGCTGTAAAATAATTTTAGGACGTTCTGTCAATGACTGAATAAATGCATAAAACCTCCTAATCCCTGTGTTTCCTCCTCCCACAGTGCCAAGCTGAAGAACAATAACCGAGAAGTGTGCATTAACCCGGAGACCAAGTGGCTGCAGCAGTACTTAAAGAACGCCATTAACAAGTAAGAAACACCTCCTCACTGCCGCTCCTCCGACAGCAGCGTCGCCGACGGAGACGAATGTATCGCAGCTCTTAAGAACTGCCATCCCTCAGTGTCCTGCTGACACGTCCTCTCTCAAATCACTCACGTTGTTGATGCAAGCCGGTGAAATATTAGCTGTGACCTGCTGCCATTAAGTACCGTTGTCTATAAATCTGCCACGGCTCTGTGAGACTTTAGCCTGTGGGCTACACAGACTCAACACATCCTGAGATCTTTTCAAATTACTGCAGCTGCTAATTCACTTTTTTCCCCTGTAAAAGTGAAACCTCTCCACCCGCCTGCCGGTGATTATAACCAGGCTGTGTGCACGCTGTGTAAAAACAAACCATAAAGCAGTCACAGGGAAATGAAGACGCAGTGTTGTTATTGTGTTAGCAAATTAGCTACATTTTTATTATCAATACAAGATTTTTGGCAACAACCTGCTGCAGTACATCACTGGATTCGTAGCAGCTGTGATATTTGCTTTTTCTAAAAATAGCCTTTGAGAGAGAGAGAGAGAGAGAGAGAGAGAGATTTTAGGTCTACGTGAATTTCTGGATTTAAACAAGTTTCATTTAAACTTCATCAAGTGCTGCTGTCTGTTGGACCACAAGAGAGATGAATACATTCAGAGCTCAGTGACCACAGTTACAGCATCAGAGTCCATGTGACCGCAGACAAACTCTAGTTCCATGGAGATGTTTCTTACGAAGTGGTTTAATGTTTGAAAGGTTGTCACCGCAGATAAACGTACGACACGTTTCCAGGTTCAATCTTCAGGTCTTTAACATGTGATCGACTGTGATCGACTGTGATCGACTGTGATCGACTGTGATCGACATGTTAGAGCAGTGTTTCCCAAACTTGTTTTCTGAGGATCCATATTTTAGAAGTCACAAACCTTTGCGACCCAAGCCAATAGACATTATTCATAAACTCCTGGAAAACATCATGCGATAAAAAAATCAAATTGTTTTTGCGTTCTTTTTCTTATCTCCCTTCCAATTTTCTGAGCCCCCCTTGGTGCAGACCCCTACTTTGAAAACCATTGATTTAAGACAGGTGTACATGTTTACATGTTTAGTTTCCTAAAGTTCTGTTCTTCCAAAGAACCATTTTTTAGGAAACCTTTTATATTTCATGGAAGTAGATCTGTGGTTTGACTTTGAAGTGCTTCAGATTTTTTAGTGCTGAAACTGTGGCTCCCACTGCAGTGCAGCTTGGACAGGAGTGTGCTGGTCGTTAGCCATCGGAGCTCACAGCGTTCTCTGTCCAGCACACAGCTGGCACGGAGCCTCAGTGGGGGGAGAATCTGATTTTCCAGCATATAATACAGTGTGGCGTAAGAATTCAGTTTACATCTACGTATTTTAAAAGGATTTGGAATTGGAGTTTGCTGAGTCTGGCTTTTTCTTTTCTCTGAAATGATCTTTAAAATATTCTTTGTTTTAAAAAAACTGAATACTTTGATTTTTATACAGAAGGAAACTCAGTTCACAATGTCCTCGACCTGCGATGTCGCCACAGTCCCTACATATGAATTTATTAAGACAATCTTGTTTACTCACTCCGATGAGGAAGATTTTGCCCTTCATTATGGCTCACCAGCACCTCTGATGGCGGGGCTTGTAAACAGCACATTTTCCTACATACTGTATATATACTGTATATACATATGTTCCTATATACTGAGTAATCCTATTTTCTTTCTTCTCTTTGTCTCCAAGGGTGAAGAAATCCAGAAGACGCACTAACAAGAAGGCCTAGACACAGGGAGGACATGAATCTCCTCAGCCCTGACGTCCACCTCCCCGCTACTGCTCTGGATGTTTGTATCCTTCCGCTCCTCTGGACCACTCACAGAAACAGCACTTCGTCAACGACAACGTCGTCCCCGCACCGCCGCCGCCGCTAGACGCCCACGTCATCACCTCTGATGCTTTATATCAGCACCAAATACAGTTATTATAACTTGGAATTATGGGATACATGGAGAGATCACATATATATAGTGTGTGTGTGTGTGTGTGTGTGTGTGTGTACTAACACTGACTGTATCTGTGCAAGGATTCTTTTTTTTTATTTCATACAAGTTTGATGGGACGTGGGTTTTTATGGGAAGTGCTGCCTTCGTGGTCCAAGTTTCCCATGTGTGGTTTGACATTTGATCACTTGGGATTTCAATCAAGTACAAATGATCAGTTATGCAGTATTTACAGCAAAACAGTTACCTCAACTATAATCCTTTGGAAAAAAAAAAAGTATAGTTCTGTTTATTTTAGGCAGACTCGAAGTTAGCCTCTTAGATTAACCCTCTAGTGACCAATCAGGGCATTTCATGCTAAAGCCGACATCATCTGTCAGCTTACGGCAAAAACAGGAAGTGAAACCAAATGCTAACATTAAGGTGCTTTCATCCCAGTGTAAGGACCCAGAACCTTCACATACTGTACCTGTGCTACACTGTTGATGTTATGCAAGAAGGGATGCTGTGATTTATATATCAAACACCACTGTGTCTAATTCACCATCACAACGTTCCTGAAGGGATGTGGTCAAAGTAAAGCGATGTTTTAGCAGAGGCCATATTCGACTAACGTAGTCCAAGAGCCAATCAGTGAACAATAAAAACTAATATTTATTAAGCTAAATATGCATCATTAAATAAAAAACCTCAGGCCAAGTGAAGGGAGTGCATCATTGGAACAAACGTCATGTGTAATTGACAGTATTCTGTATTAGGAATAAACAGCTCATCGATAATCACACACGAAGTGAGAAGGGAATGTTCTCAGTGGCAGAGCAGAAGTTCTCGTAAAAATGTATTTGAGCCACTTTATTACTTTTAGATATAATCATTTTTATTTTTGTACAGTGTAGACTTTTGACTTCATATTTCTAATGCAGTGTAGAATAGGCAGTAGCCACTAAATGAAGGCAGTTCCATTGTATGCAAGAAACGGAGCATTTCTAAGGTTTCCTTATGATTTTTAAAATGTATGTGACACTCAAGATCAATATATTTTTAGGTTCCTCTCAAACAGATCTCAGAGTCAGACATTAATATGACAGCACTGGAATTAGTTTCATACTTAGTAGTGTCTCTGAGTGGAGCTTTCTGCTAAAGCGGTTAGCTTAAGTTAGCGCTACACAGGCTCACCTGGTTCAGACACAGCGGTGTTACTGGTCAGTGGGAGACAATGTTATTTTTTGGGTTTTTCTGTGTATGACAAGAAAAACGCCATTGATCAGGTGTTTTGTTTATGTGTATGTGCAGTAAGTAGGACTGCGTAGCATACTTGCTAACTCTAATGATACTCTCTCATTAACTAACAGCAAAAAAGGATACTTGCTAACTCTAATGATACTCTCTTCATTAACTAACAGCAAAAAAGGGGATTTATGTTTATGTGATGTTTATAGTGCCCTCTGCTGGATTATGAAATAACCACTTCAGACATTCAGACATACTGATTTCAGAGTGTGGTAGAAAACAAATCTGGTGCGCTGAACTCACACTGGTAAAACTGGCAGACGTACCTGAGATGTGTGACGTCAGTGACAAAGAAGCCTGACGTTCGTATATCATGTGGCCCAGCTGTCCCCTTTTAAATTCCACTTTTTGAAGGGCTACTCAGTGTGATGTATGATGTGTCAATAGAACCAATGAGCCAAAACAGAACAAAAGTTGAGAGTTTAGAGCCAAGCAACCGACATGTGCTTTCAATCTGGACATTCCCAGCATCCCTCAGGATCTCTTTCCACCTCACTCAACCGCTGCCATGCCGCAATATTGAAACCGTTCGTTTCCCCCAAAACTGTGATCAAAGTCGCGGTGGTTGTGGTAAATGTTATGGCTGGGGTTGACTTTTAATTCGTTTTTTACGGTTGGTTTTTACCAAATGACTGGTTGTTGGAGATAACCAGTCTGTGCAGTAACCAGGTTACTTAGTTCCCATTGTATGAATGGAGTCCAGTGGACATTAAATTGGGACGATCACACTTCTTATTATTACTATTCTATACTAACTATACTGCAGTTTGTGATGGTGTACTGTAGTAAACCTCTACTGTAATTGTTACATTCATTAAAAAGTCAACGTTTCATTTGACTGAAATCTGTCTGTAAAACTCAGTCAACCTTATAATCAGGTCTCTAAACCAAACAGTCAAGATTTGAAAATCTGTTTTTACCGTCAGGTTAACATTTTCTTGTTTGTTTTGATTTCCAGTCACAGTGTGTCCTTATGTTCTGTCTGGGGCCCAGGACAATGTGAATTTTTTTTAGTATAAATATATACATGGTGTCTATTAAGGCAGCTTCTAACAAATACTCTTCATATATGACTATGGTATTAGGGTAATACTTTGCGTATTTTGTATTTGTAAAGCAAGAGACAGTATTTAAACTATGATATTCAACCATTATTTTTCATAACAGTTTTTCAATAAAGTCACTTTTAAATATAAATCTATGTATTAATTTGTGTTTATTATGAATCTCACGACCTTCATTTACAGCTGGATTAGATTGAAACAATGATATTAACACATACCTGATAATGGAGCAACTGAAAAGAAAATCATACAGAAGTGAACACCCAGTCGACTAGACAACAAAGCCCAAGCCAAGACTTCAGACCGTAGTAAGTGAACACCCAGTCGACTAGACAACAGAGCCCAAGCCAAGACTTCAGACCCATCAAGTGGTGGCTTGCGGGCCCCATCCAGCCCACTGGACCATGCAATCCTGCCCACGACTGGGTTCTAAAATTGTGAAGATTATATTCATAGAAAATATTGTGTGGTACACATATATAAAAGATACACACACACACACATGTATATACAGTATATATAAATTTAACAGTAAAAACTGCAACCTCTGTGTACAATTTTAATGCATCGTCACATCATTATCCCTGTTTTTTACCGTCACCTTTCGTTGGGGTCACTCTGAATCTAAGGGGGTCACGTCTTGTTGCGTGTCCCTAGTTCCATCTGCGTCCAATCAGGACAGACCAGTGTGAATGACAAGCATATCCACAGCAGCCTGTGAGTGTTTTTAGTGTGGCTGAAGCGTTTATTTTGTTGGAGATGTTTTAAGTTTTTATTCAAAAAGCAGCTTCAGTTAGAGTCTGTAGAAATGTTCGGTTGGCATTCTCTGAGTGCATTTTGTTCCTGTTTAACATTAACATCACTGAACTGCTCAACCTGTTGAACCAAAAGTTTAAAGACAGATGTTATTATTTTATAAAAAGGTTCAGATTTTAATAAAGAATAGAAAGAATTTCAAATCTGCCTTAGAACCTCTTGGCTCTCTCTTGTACTGCAGTAACAAACAGTACACGCTGGACAGCTACACAGTGGAACCGGTGGAGACTTGTCGCCTACAGTTACTCACTTGATTTATGTTGATAGAAACTGGCATTGCCACACCTAGGAGGGGAAAACACGCCAACAAGAGGCCGCGGAACTTTTCCCTGTGAGGAGAGAAGTCCCTCTACGAGTGAAACCACAACAGAGCCCTTCAAACAAAACAGTCCTCGAGCTAAAACATCTGAAGAGCCTGGCATGGTGTGGAAAACTCACTGTGAGGTTGATTTGAACAAGATCGCATCGAAAACGTTTTTCGTCTTCAGCCGAATCACTTTCGATCAGAGTGGTAAATAAGAGCAGGATTGATAACGCCACTGAACGGGTCGCTCCGTACTCTAACAGTGTTGAGTTATTTCCAAACTCATTTACAGTGATTCATTACACCTCCAGAGAAGCTCCACTGCTCCACAGAGCTGTCAGCTCTAATACCGTGGAACCATGTGGAGCAGATTCATTTCATGGTACAGCTTCATCCCCTGACCTTTGTGGGTCCATGTGAAGAACATGAGCCTCGGGTTGGATGTGGACCAAGTGGTGGAGAAGGTCAGATTTTTGGACACATTCTGAAATAATTATGGGATTTCCATAGTGTTGTAAGCCAGCTGAGACTCGGCCCACGGCGGAGGCTGTTGAAAAGTTTATTGTTATGCGTTCTTACCGACACGTTTTCCCGATGACGAGAGAATGTAAAGAGGTGTTGGTTATGTGTGAAACACTTTGGATAAGAACAGATACAAAACAGCTACAAGTCTGTGGTGGGTCATAACACAGGCCCGGTTGGATAATTAGAGTATGAAAAAATATGGGCTGTTCATCTGAGAACAACAAGAGAACTGACTGAGGAAGAGACGACAGTTACTGTGTGGAACAATGGAGGAGAAATGGATCTCACAAAATGATCTCACAAAAGGGCTGTGGAGGAGAAATGGATCTCACAAAATGACCAAGGGCTATTTTTTAAAAATAAGAGCCGAAGAGTTTCTCTGGGTGGTCTAGCAGTTATCAACTCCAGTACGATGACTAGACCAGGTTAACCAAGATACACAAAAAGTAGTATCTGTAGTATCAGGAGAACTGCAGTTTTCAGTGATTAAAAGTTTGTTAATTCAGAACTAAAGCAGCTTCTTTATGAAACACAATATTGACCATCTTGTTCTACCCCCTCCTCTCTCCTTCTCTCTCTCTCTCACACACACACACCTGTGTACATTTTACAGCGAGTGTTTCCAATTAACTGACACTGAACAGGGCCTGAGATTAAGTTGTTCAAAGTTGTACAGTTAAAGTTCTCAAATCACAGAGGATTACCTCCAACCTCCCCAAACAAATCGTCCGTGCCGTCAGTTGTCCCACCTTGTTATGTTGTCAGTCTGACGGGAGTCAAACTGAAGGCGGCTGTTGCTGCTGAGTGAAGGTGTTGTTTTTGTAAGATTATAGATTATAGATCTGATCACGTTACATTTTCAGAGTTTTGTTTGTCTGTTTACTTTTCCCTCCGGCCTGTCAGTTGATCAGTATCATCACACTCACCTGTGTCTGTCATCAGTCTCACTGGTGTCACCTGGTGTTCTGGGTGTATATACCTCTGTCCCTCAGCCTGTGTTGGTGGATCAGTGGTGATATGAGGTGCCAATGTCTTGAAGTTCTGCTCCTTATTCATGTGACCCCGGGAGTTTGTGATTTTTTGCACGTAAATTAATTCACTGCACCTGAAAAGTAATTCTGGTGCTGCGTTCAGGTCACGCCTGCTCACATGATACAACATGAAAAAAATGTTGCCTTTACTTTTATTAAGTTAATGCTTCATATTTTTGGGGAGCTATTTCATGCTAAAACATTTAGTAGCCAAGTCAGGCTGTAAATGTACGCTCCACGCTCTGTTTACCCACAAACCAACTGACCTCAGGTCAGAACACTATCACCAATCA